CTTAATTAAATCAATATTAAAATATAAAATTAAAAAATTATCAATTAAAAAAAAATAGAAATAGAGTGAACCAACTAAATTCATAATATGAGTTATATTATGAAACCAAGCTAACCAGATTTCAAGTAAATCATAATAAATTATAAAATTTAATTTTTAATAAATTATATATTAAAATTAAAAAAATATTATTTTATGAGAAGATGTATGAAAATTAGTGATTTTTTTTAATATGAACTGTAATAATAACAGAGTACCGAATTGGAGTAGTGATTTAGTGACCTGTAACATCTGGCAGCACTTGCAACTTACCCAGCAGGATTTTCGGACCACGTATCAAATCAAAACCATATCATTGTAGGAGGTGTTGCTTCTTTCTTGGCAATTTTACAATTCAAACTTCAGAAACATTTTAAATTCTCTTTCGTATCATCATCTCTTGATTCGAATGTCGATAGCAACGCATGTCTTTAACCACAAAATAAAAACTCTTCATATATATATATATATATATATATAAGACGGTCGAAGGATCACATTTTTCAACCCCCATATCACCTTATTATATAATATAGTATAGTATAATATAATATAGTATAGTAGGATGGGAAGGCAAACAAGATCACCAAGGTAACTTTTCTTAGTTTCAAAAGTGTAATTATGAAGAAGAAGACCTGAAGCGTACCCCTGGTGTGACCCTTGATTAATCCACAAACCGAAGCATATCACATAATGACCCAATCATGTTTTTGAAAACTTATTAATATTTTTAAATTAAATTTTCTTTTATGTTTTGGTATTAAAAAAGATTTTAAAAATAAAAAACACTTATTATTTGGATATATTTTTAAGTCAACAATATTTTAAAAAATAACTTTTATTATATGTTAGTAAAGTTTGTAAATAAATAAATAAAATATATTTTTCATTAAAAAAATACTCTCTCCTGAATGTTTATAAATAAATTTTTTTATTGTATAATAAATTAAGTGAAATTAATGGTAAATAAGAATTTTAATGCTGTTATATGCATGTTTTCATAATTAATTTATTTGATTTTTATAATTACTTTTGATTTTTATAATTATAAGAATAAAAATGAATAATAACTATTTAATTTAACTTAAAATATAATTACTTCATTAACTATTATAATATTAATAAACATAATATTTTAATTATAATAAGCATGTTATTACACGGACAACACACATGTAATAAAAATAATTTTTTTTTCTTTTTTTTTTGTAAAATTCATAAAGTTTAATTATATTTTAAAAATATGATTTATGTATTAAAAAAATTTCACCTTAAAAAAGTATATATTAAAGTTTCTAAACCATCCTTTTTATTTATTGACATATTAAATAGATTATTTACACCATGCTCCCAGATATATACCTGAAAAAGAAAAGGCAAAACGAAGATGGAGCCGTACCAATTTTATGCTCCGAGGGCGGCCATAAAAGACAACAATTTTTTGTTTGGTCGGTTTGATGAAGACTGTCTTCGTGTTGTTTTATGCTTCTTTACACGTATGCACCCGTGGCGACCCCAATCTCAATAACCAGCATCTCTACTTATAATAATAATTAAAAAAATCGAAAGTAAATTATTGCTTGCCCACTTTCTTAGACTTCTGCCACTTGGACGGCTCATATGGTCGTCGAGACTCATCCAGTAGATCACATCACCTTATTGTGCCCTTGTCACCATCCACGTCAGCTCTATAATCCACGCATAACTCCTCCCCAAATAGTCTCAAATAAACCCCAAAAAGAATTTATTTTTTTGAATAAATTATAAATTAGTCTTTTCTTTTTTATTTTTCAGAAATATAATATTTTTATATTCATAAACTAATTATAAGAAATGGTTTAACTGATTAAATTTTAAATTTATTTTTTAATAATTAAAAATTTGAAGTTTTTTATAGTTACTAAAAACTTATATAATTGTTAATTATAAAATCTGTTAAATTAATTGAGATATATATAAATTAACCAAACATTTATATTAATAAAAAAAATTAATTAAGTATCCCTACTGTTTATAAATCTACTTGTAACTTGATTTTATATGCCCATTTCATGTTGTCTTCCAAATTATTTTATGTTTTTTTATGAAATATAAAACGGATAAAAAGAGTTGGTGGTATGAAAAAATGACGGAAAAAAAGGAGATATATTCTAAAATAAAATAATATTAAATTAAACATGATCAACACCAGTAAAGAGACTAGTTAATTATTTTACAAAAATACAGGGATTAATCTAAAATTCCTTCAATTTTTATTACAGTAAACACCCAACTTTTTGAGCGACAATGACATAAAGCTCTAGTTTTATTGGCAAACGCAAGAGCCTGATTGGTTCTCGGCTTTGCTTCCTTGTTTTTGCCTCTTGCACGTTCAAACTTCAAAGTCTATTTCCCGCTTATATATATATATATATATATATATATATATATATATTAATATTAAAAGTGGGCATAATGAATAATTAACATCACTAATTATTCTTTAACCACCGTAAAATTAAAATTTCTCAATATCATTACCCTTTGTCCAGCTCTGTTATACAAGTTCTTTAATTTGACTAATCGCCGTTACTTGATCATTTATAATAAATATAAATAAAAATACATCAAACTCTTAAAATGAATAAAAAAAAATAAAATAAGAATAAAGTGGCTCATGATAAAAATGAAAAACACTTTCTAATAATAAAAATTTTAAATTGAAAAAAAATGAAGATTACAATCTCATACACTAATCTTAGAAAAATAAACTCCCATTTCAAAAAATAATTGTTTTAAATAACCAAAAATACATTTAATCTTTATGTTAATAAACAACATATAAAAACAATTTTTAAATAATAAAAATGGGAATTTTTTATTAATGTTAAAAATTTATATATATGTTTTATTTCTATTTATTACAGACCATTCATATGCCATGATTTAAACCCTTTATCTGGATCAATAAATGATGGTCCGTCAAAATTATAATTATTTTCTATAAAAAATCATAATTTAGAATTTGTGTTCCTAATTCTCCAACTTAAATAAAAGATTTTCTCATTATAATTCGAGTGGATTTTCTACAGAAACTGACATTTCATCTTTTAACTTATTTAAAAGATCTCCCTTTTATTGGATAGACATATATAATGCCTACTTAATTTCTAACTACCGGATTCATTTACCAGTTCTTGTTTATTTCCCAGTAGTAAAAATAAAAGGCCTATGTGTGATTGGTATTTGATAAATGAATCTAAGATTTATGAACATTATCAAATGTTTATCCTATTTAATAAATTACATAAAAGATTATTGGAATTGAATAGTGTAATTAAATGTTTTCATATAGAATTTTATAAAAAAAATATCAAGAACAAATGAAGTTAGTAATTATATATGTTTAAACACTTCTAAATTTATTTTTTAAAAAATATTTTTAAATTATATTACATGTAAAAGCCAGGAAAAAACATTATAGCTATATATTTAGGTAGTGTTTGGGAACGCGATTGAACCTGTATTTTTTAAAAATTTAAAATGTTTTTATTTTTTATTTTTGTTAAAATTTAATATGACTTGTACGTTTTGGATCGTTTTGATGTACTAATATTAAAAATAATTTTTAAAAAATAAAAAAAATATCATTAACATATATTTTAATAAAAAAATTATTTAAAAAATAATCGTTATCACACTATCAAACATATTCTTAATGTATTGTGAATTTACATAATGTTTTTTTTAGTGGTTTTTTAACTAGTGGGTTGGTCTTCGTGACATCTTGGATCTCTACTACAGCAGGTATATACAGGCATATATGCATTTAAAAAAGGAGGAGTTTTGCTTCTACTTGTTTAATTAGTCCTCTTAATCACAATTTATTTCATTTTATTTGAGAGGAATAACTGAGTTGTTTTTAAAATTTTTATTATTAAACATTATATCCTATATTTTTATTAGTAAATGTTCAAATGGTGGTGAGGGGGGACCCTCCACATTGGCCAACAATGACACTGACATTTTACGTTACAGGAGATTCCATAATGATTTCTTTTTTCTCGATTAGGCCATAATCAAGTCATTAAGATATCATTATCTTTCTTCTTTTCCATAATTATCTTCGGACTGAGAGTCAAAAACCAACCAGTTACAGCTGCTTTCATTTTCAAAGATTTAATCTACAAAATTCATTGCTTCTGGACCAATTTGAAGCTGCTCTTGCTTTCCCTTCCTCCTCCACCAATCCCATGCGCCTTGGACGTGGATTTTGATCGATACAAGCGGCTGCTTGGATCCAAAGTCATGTTTAAGAAACCGGGTATTTTTAAGATTGTTATAAAGATTATTTTTTAAAATATTTATACGTGAAGATAATATATTTTTATTTGTTAAAATTTGAATCCATTAAAATAATTAAATATTAATAATAATAAAAACTAACTTGATGAGTAAAAGAAGTAGAGTTCTTAAGATTCATGGTTGGACTGTGCTTCCAAACACGGATATTGCTTCAATCTCAATTCATGTTATCATGGCTAATCCTTTTTGCTTAGTCTCACCGATTGAATACAGTGGCAACCAATTTTATCAGCTAAGAAAGATGTCTCGTATAATTAACAGCATGACTACAAGCAATTTCCTTCTCCTGTAACCAAATTTACACTGCAATATTACAGTGATGGACCCAAGAGTGTAGACTTGCCTTGAATCATCAAAAGTCTCCCACAGAAAGTAAGATTGTAGCCTTGAGAAAGGCGGAAAGGAACTGTCAAAAAGAGTGGCACGTCTCAATCGAGTCCAAGAACAATCAGTTCATCTGAGCCCTGTGCCATTTTACTGTATGAATACATGAGTCATTAGGGCATGTGGATGGCCATTCAGTAGGACCATTTTGTATCTTGCCAACTCACAAAACACATTACCTATATCAAGTTGCATTTTGTCACATCCTAGCAAACTTTAGGAATATATATACCTGTCAGCAGTCTATTACCAGTACCTAATGATCCACTATTTATTCATAGTGTATCAAAATCTCTCCTAGTTACGAGAGTAGTGACATTAGAACGAGAGATTTCAGTAGAAAAACTGAGAGTGAGAGTTTGGATCAAAGATTCAGCGGAAATCCCAACTTTCTTCCTGCATATATATATCTGCTTGCATGAAACATATCAGAACCTTTATCTTCAATGGTACGTTCCTCCCCTTAATTATTCTTCTACTGCATGCTTTTTGCTTTTGATGTTGCTTGCTTGTAATGATATAAACTGCAGGATGTTGCATGACAAGTTTGCTAGCTATAGATCATTTGACATGTATAGGTTTCATGATCACTTTGAACTAAAAGAATCCAAGCAATGAAATCAATAAATCAAGAAGCTCTTCTTTGATTCATGCTTTCACTGCAAGGCAAGACTGTGATCCTTCTCCTTTTGGACAGATACCAAGAGAAAGGTTTGCAGCCTTTTATTAGCTTTGTTTCCTACCAGGAAACTTGCTCTGCTGCATCTCCTCCTTTTCTTGAAAGAGAGGAGATAAATCGTATGAATATTGAGTGCTTTTCTACATTTCTATCTAAATATCCTCGTATATTATCCACCATGTTTCTTTTAAGAAAATAAAATAAAAAACAAGGATCTGATGGCTGCAGAGATCTTCATATAGAAGTTCATTCTCTGTCAGTGCGATCCGGCTTGGTCTTCCATAAATCTTTGCCGTCATGCGAAAACATATTTGCCAGATGTCTGATAGGGATGCATATACTTAACATTAACCACAAGCTTTATTAATTAAGGTAGCTATTCATTTGCCTTCTGTAATCGTACAAGTCAACCCATAATTTACTTGTAATAATTAATTAAGCAATTTAAAAATCTTAAATGATATGATAAATATCTGCGTCCTTCGACATGCCATTGAACCATCCATCTACCACTACCTGTACGCATCATCTCCCATTTCATTTATATTAATTAGTTATTCACGTAGCCAGGAAACAGAAGGGCTTGAAACTGTACATACCGGCCTTGGAGGCAATGCTGTTGTGCCTGAGGGTGGAAGTTTTTTGGAACCACCCTCGATTGCCAAGGTTTCAGGAGAAGAAATCTTCAGAAAACAGATCGATCAAGTACCATGCCTGGTAGAAAAGAATGAGAGACGGGCGCACGAAGATGAGGGTTTTGACACTACAGAAGAGGGGGAAACTAAGGAGATTGCGGAAAAGGAAAAACAAGTTGATGATGTTACTGGAACCATTTTACAGATGGATAAGATTGAAGGACCATGCGTAAACATTGAAGAAGAGGAGAAAATAGTCAAACATGTTGAAGCAATGGAAGATGGGGAGGCTGAAGTTGAAGGTAAACCAAAGAGTATCGAGAAGGAAATTGGCGGCCCAGAGAAATATGAGGAAGGAGAAATGAAGATAGAAGAGAGTGTTGAACTTGAAACTAGCAATGAAGTGAGCTCATTTGAGCCAGGCTTCAGTCAGGGAAAAGAAGCTCTGAGTCAAACCGCTGATGCGGCAGTCAACAACCTGGACAATCCTGAAACAGTCAAAGAAGTTTGCCAGGAGAAAGAAATCAAAGACAGTGGCACGGGTGATGGAACTATAAATGAACAGCGGATAGAAGAAGAAAGAAAAGGAGAGAAATCAGGGAGTTGCTCTAGTTTCTTGGATGACAAGGGTACTGATGTGGTCAAAGCCATTGAAAAGACAGAAAATGAGAAAGAGGGCACCACATGCGATACAATTGGAGGGGGAACCTATATAGTAGAAGCAGGCATAGACATTCAGAATGAAAAAGAAACAACTCCTGGAACTGGACAAGGTATGCAGGACAAACGGAATACAGAAGACATCGCGACTGTCACTCATAAAACACAAGAGACAGAAGAAATGTACTCTCAGCAAGTAGACAAGCCTGACGAATGCATGGTCTCAGAATCTGAATCAGAGGAAATTGTCAATAAGAGTCCACAAGGAGAAGGTCAAAATCTTATCCTTGAGAAAACAGCTGAAGTTGACAGCAGTGAAGGTGAAAATATTAAGGATGGGATGAATCCTGAACAAAAGCCTGATGGTTTGTTTGTGAAACATGAGGAGAACAAGCAAAGCATACATCAGGATCTGGCTATGACAGAAGAATCAACAGAGGAAAACAGAGACATGGAGACTCCTACTGTGATAGCAGCTGAAAACAACACAAGTGATGCGGTACCTATTACCATTACTACTGCTCATGATCATTCTGTGATAGAAGATGACAAAATCATGGATGTAGTAGCCAATATTGTTCCAGAGCATAGCAAAGAGGAGATGTCTAAGTACGAGGATAAGATCAAGGAAACTTTTGCACAGCAAGATGAAGCAGTAAATGAGAAGATTGAAAATTCCTTGGCATTGATATCTGGGGAGATAGATACAGCGACTTCAAGTGAATGCTCTGAAGCAATTGCATCTGCTAAAGAGGAGACACCCATCAAAATCCCAGGAGAAAGCTTTGAGGATAAGAAGGAAGAGAAACCAATTGATGCCGATGCTGTCGTAGACAGTGGGCTTCCAATAGAAAAGGTTAAAACTATACATGACTCATGATTACTTGTATTTCAATTCCTCCAACAACATGAAAATTCAGCATCAATAATGACAACAGAATCACCAACTTTTCTATTCTTCTCGCAGAGTCTTCTACCAACGGACTTGAATGAGAAGATTGAAGACGCAGGACTTGAGCTTCAATACAAGAATTCCAGTGAGTTGCACTTAAGTCATTCGTTGGAACAAGAAACAATACCAGTACAAGACGAAAAACAGCCAAAACTCTCTGATTTTGAACCTCAAGAACAAGATCATGAAGAAAATGGACCATCTAAAGAGTTGGAAAAACATGCTGAAGATGCCTCTGAAGCATGTGAAAGCATGCAGAACACCAGTTTAGAGAATCCGTCTGCCGAAGGGGCAATGACAACAGAAGTGAACGCAAAAGCAAATGAAATGGCTGTTGAGAAGGAGGAAAAGATCCATGAATTGGAATCCGAGGAAAAGTTAGCGATCGATGATGCTGGGACTAACTTGGAAGAGGAGATGCAAAAGAAGGAAGAAGCCCATGATGAACAGGCATATCAAATGGCAACAAGTAAGTTCTTTAAATTTCCAAATCTTCTCTCTCCCAAATTGAAGCAGAAATCTTTAAATATCACAATGATAACTAATCACAAAATACATATAAATGAAGAGGACAAGCGTAAGAGTTTATTAGGTAATGACGGTCCTCAAACATCCATTGCAGGTGATAAAATTGAAGAAGTAACCTCAGATGAAGTTTGCAGTAGAGAATTTGTTGACAAAAACGTAGAGCGCAGTGTTCAAGCAGCAGCTTTTCAGGAGGCAGAAACACCATCAAAAAACGGAGTTGGAGAGAATTACGAAATGAGTAGCATAGTAAACGAAGAGGTACTCCAACACACATTGATTAACACCGAATCTCATTTTCCTTATGTCTTTTAATTCTTTTGTATGATGGTGTTTGCTAGTACAGGTGATTGATGAACCTAATATCACAGACATTGGAGAGGTCATTGATGAAGAGAAAATTAAAGATGATGCAACACACCTTTCATCAGAACTAGTCTTTGATGAAAAGTTAGTTGAGAGCTCCCAAGACAATGAAACAGAGGCAGAGATGTCAAAAGGAGATGGCGTTGAAGAACAGATGATGAAAGACGACAATGCTAAGGTCATCTTACAAGAATCTATTCAAGAAGCCTCGGTTAATGACTTCCAAAATGATTTGAAGAATGCTGAAAAGTCCAGCAGAGAGGTCAGCATGAAAGTGAACACAACTTAGTTTTCATCACATCTCAGCTCTACATCTTTTTAATCTAAAAGTTAATTTCTTGTGATCTTATCCAGATGTCTGAAGTGTCCGAGGCGGAAGAAAAGGATGAGACAAACAATAATGATGAAAGCCCCGACTTAACTCTACAGGCTTCACTACTAAAAGAACGGGAAAGTTTGCAAACTGAAAATCTTACTGCAGAAGCAGAGGAAAAAGATGAAGACGGATCTTCTATCAGAAAGGATGAAGATGAAAACAATGATGATGGGCTAAAAGAGGTTAAGGAGTGTAGTGAGAAAGAGACATTGAAAGGTGAAGAAGATGTAGAACAAATATCGCCAATGAAAGAGCCAGGAGAAAATCTTGAAAGTTCAGCTAGCATGATATCTGCAGAAACCGAGGAAGTTGATTTGAATAAAACGACTCAGAAAACTGAGGAAGAGATGGATGAGGGTATTGAAGGCGTCAAAAAGGAGGCAGAAACTCGAAAAGAAGATGGCGAGGAACAGGTCATTGATGAGAACGACGCTAAAAGCATCCCAGTAGAATCTATCAAGGAAGTTACAATTAGCGAACTGCCGAATGATGAAAATAATGCCGAGGAGTTCAAAAGAGAGGTGAGTGTAAACTTTCTCTCTATCAATTTATTCCATACTCTTGTTTGTTGACTCAAAAGTTTTTGTTTCTTAAACAGATTTCTGAGGAATCTGTGGCAGCTGGAACAAATGAGAGTATTGCAGATGCGACGTATCAGAATGATGGAACAACCCCCAATGCAGCTCTTGAAACTTCGACAGCGAAAGAGACATTGAAAGATGAAGAAGATGTAGAACAAATATCGCCAATGAATGAACCAGGAGAAAATCTTGAAAGTTCAGCTAGCATGATATCTGCGGAAACCGAGGAAGTTGATTTGAATAAAACGACTCAGAAAACTGAGGAAGAGATGGATGAGGGTGTTGAAGGCGTCAAAAAGGAGGCAGAAACTGGAAAAGAAGATGGCGAGGAACAGGTCATTGATGAGAACGACGCTAAAAGCATCCCAGTAGAATCTATCAAGGAAGTTACAATTAGCGAACTGCCGAATGATGAAAATAATGCCGAGGAGTTCAAAAGAGAGGTGAGTGTAAACTTTCTCTCTATCAATTTATTCCATACTCTTGTTTGTTGACTCAAAAGTTTTTGTTTCTTAAGCAGATTTCTGAGGAATCTGTGGCAGCTGGAACAAATGAGATTATTCCAGATGAGACGTATCAGAATGATGGAACAACCCCCAATGCAGCTCTTGAAACTTCGACAGCGAAAGAGACATTGAAAGATGAAGAAGATGTAGAACAAATATTGTCAATGAATGAGCCAGGAGAAAATATTGAAAGTTCAGCTAGCATGATATCTGCAGAAACCGAGGAAGTTGATTTGAATAAAACGACTCAGAAAACTGCGGAAGAGATGGATGAGGGTGTTGAGGGAGTCAGAAAGGAGGCAGAAACTGGAAAAGAAGATGGCGAGGAACAGGTCATTGATGAGAACGACGCTAAAAGCATCCCAGTAGAATCTATCAAGGAAGTTCCAGTTAGCAAACTGCTGAATGATGAAAATAATGCTGAGGAGTTCAAAAGAGAGGTGAGTGTAAACTTTCTTTCTATTAAAATACTCCATGCTCTTGTTTGTTGACTCAAAAGTTTTTGTTTCTTAA